GTTACCACTTACTGCTATAATTTTATTTTTAAAAAATCACAAAATAAAAATAAAAAATAAAGAAAACTTATGGAAGGGAGCAGTAGCACTCAACCCATCCGGAGTGAACATGGCACTCATCTATTGCAAAACAATGAAGACATGGAAGTCAATAATTATTGATTGATACCTACGTCGTATATATGTGAGCGATGATTATGACACCACATACTTTTTAGCATGTTTTTTTGTCATTTTTCACATGCTAAAATCCAACCAAGTGTTTGAGCTGGTATTTGAAGTTCTAAGCATATTTGTGCATAGATGTGTTTTTTTCGTTGTTTGGGAATCTAGCTTGTTTTATAATTCAATTTATATGGACTGTATGTTTTTTTTACCATTGATAAAAGGATGGAACCTAAAATTAAAAAACTCACTTTTCGACCAATAATTATAAGATATATAATTTATACAGAATGAATTGCATTTTACTTTTTTATTTATTATTTTTTTACTTAATATTGTTTTTGGATAATATGGATGTAGTATATTTTATCCGCTATGTCTATAATATATGCAAATAATTGGGATAAAAAGGCTATTAATTTTTTTTGTTGATATGATTCATGTTGCCTTTTATTTTTTACCGGTTAAACGAATCTCAATTGATTAAAAATTAAATATAGCAATTATTAATTTTATGACAACAATTAAACTTCATTTTATTGTTTTTAGTTTTTACCTCTAACAAACCATGAACCATACCACTAAACCAAACATCATTTTATTGTTTTGTGCACTAGTAAGTAGAACGAATTTTTGTTTTTTGTTTTTTGTTTTTTTTCCAATCAAAGAAACATATATATAGTGCTATTTACATTAGTTTTTTATTTTTTTGAAAATAGGCAATGGATATATTAGTTTTTATTGACAAAGAAACAGATGTATCTAGTGTCCCTCAAGTGGATACTAGAGGATTTATTGGATAATACCTAGAAAACTATATGTGAACTCCATGAACACTAACTGATATATTTTTTAATTCAATAT